AATTATGTATAACATATTAAATTTAAAACAATAAATGTTATAAAAGTACAAACAAATGGAAGTGTTATAGAATGAACAAACAAATATGGTAGGAATTGAGAAGGCAAACTTGCTATAACCAAACACTTGATCTAAATCTTGAGTAACTAGAGTTCTGGCTGTTCCTACGACTAAACAAAGGTGTCTTTGGAACAGGTATACATTTTATGAGCAAACTAACTGGCCATGATAAAGCAGCTATCCCAATACACACTTTCCACTTCATCCAATTCAATCTCTCAGTACATGCAAACTCTTTCAGCATTTCGATCATTGCAAACTGGATAACTACTATCATTCCTACAATCCCCCAAAATAACCGCTTTGTTTTTAGCTCTCTGAGGATACCCCCTTCGTAGTTTCTCAGGTAGAATATGTTGAATAGTTGACAGAGAACAAAGATGTTGAAGATCATTGTGTCCTTTTCCTTGTCGCTTAATTGGTATCCTGATTCACCTGTGAATTGGATGGTAAGCAACACTGAGATCAGGTACAATGCTTGTCCCAATATATTTTTCCACATGATATTGGTTATAAATGGCTCATTTTTGTCAGGTGGTGGCTGCTGCATGAGCTTTGTTCCAGGCCCGTCGATAGTGAGAGCTACAGCTGCTAATGTCCCCACCATCAGCTTTACCCAAAGTACCTGAAGCATTGCATAGGGAACATTGCCTGCTGAAATTACTGTGACAATGTTGATGGTCACGGGCTCGCTAGCTGAAATTGCTGTCACAAAGTCTATCACCAAAGAAGCGATAGTTGCTGTTAGTTGGTACTGGGTGAATATCTGAACATTGTTGTATGTGGTTCGGCCCCAACTTAGAACCCTAGCTATGGAAGCAAAGTTATCATCCATGATGACAATATCCGAGCAGTTCCTTGCTGCATCGGTTCCATGATTACCCAATGAAAGCCCCACATTGGCTTCTCTAAGAGCTTCTGCATCTTCCACTCTGTCTCCGGTAACTGCAACATTATGACCTTTCTTTTGCAAGCATCGTACCATTAGAAGCTTGTCCAGCGTTGAGGCTCTTGCGATCACACGAATGTTATCAACTTTCTCCAATCTTTCATCTTCAGCATATCCTTGGAATGTTGTTCCTTCAATGACTTCTCCAGTGGATGTGTCATGAGGATCAATTATACCACAATCAATAGCTGATGCACGAGCGGTGTGGATATCATCTTTTGTAATGATTTTGATGTTCACTCCAGCATCTTGGCAGTCCATCACAGCTTTCCTTGCTTGTTCTCTACATGGAGCTTTCAGACCGACAAATGCTAATAAGATCGAATCATCTTCTTTGAGCTTGGGATGGAAATGCCCTTCATGATCAATCTGATGTTCTGCTGTTACACTTTTATATGCAAAACCAACACAGTACAAACCATCCATTTTCATCTTTGTAATTCTTCCCTGCAATGCTTCTCTAGTATCATCGTTTATATCTTTGACATCCCCTGTCTCCTCGTAGTAACGTGAACACATGGCCAGTATTGCCTCTGGAGTTCCTTTGTGGTGCACATGTACTCTGCTGTCAGCATTCCTCCTTATCAAAACACGCCCTTGGTATTCCGAGTTGAAGCTTTCAGCATGGACAAGTGTACATCTTTCTTTCAGTTGTTGTACATCCATATTCATACTTTTGATGCCCCAGCCCAAAATTGCATTTTGAATTTGATCCTCAATGTGTTCAAATGAAGATCCCGGTGGGATCTTGGTTGTGTTCAGAGCCATTCCTTCATGAAGCAGATCAAGAATTTCTGGGGCAAATGAAGAGAAAGTACCTCTTCCAAAATACTCTTCACATAGACAAAACTCTCTGACCTGCAGAGTGTTTTCAGTCAGTACTCCTTCCTTATTCGTACAAATCACAGTAGCGGAGGCCATTGCTTCACAAGCTGAAAGACTTCTAACAAGTGCTTGATCAACAATCATCTTCTTGGTTGAGTAAGCTATGGTTAGTGCACAAGCTAACGTTAAACCTTCAGGAATAGCACCCGATGCAATTGCAACTGGAGTTGCTAGAATCCCAAGAAAGGCTTTCCATACATCATGTATACTTGTCTTACCTCCAATGAACAACTTCCTCCCATTGTTTCGCATATTCCCTGTGAAGTAACGGACCAACAGTACTAAAAGAACCAAGAAACTGACTGCCAAACCAACCTTTGCTATATGCGAGGTCAGTTTGTGTAGTTTCTTCTGTAAAAGTGATTTATGATCATGATTGACACAAGCTGGACTTATGATTTCTGCCAATGCTGTATCCATGCCAACTGCTGTAACAAGCATTCGACCATTACCCCTCAAGACATTGCTACCCGATAACAAGAACACATTGGTGCTATTGTTAACTTCCACAAGGTCATTTTTCTTTGTTAAAGTTGATTCATCAATATGTAAGGATTGGCCACCTATGTATATCCCATCAGCAGGGACTTGATCTCCAGCTTTCAAGCGAATGACATCTCCAACAACTGCTTCAGATGATGCGATACACGTATCCTTCCCATCCCTAATCACAAGAATGGAAACAGTTTCAATTGGCCTACAAAGTTCATAAAGTTGCTGTTTATGCCAATACTAGTTCTCGAACACGTGCAACGCACGTGTATTTCACGCTAAGTAATTTTTTTTAAAAAAAATATTAGATTAAATGTGCAATGAGTTATATGAATTTTGAAAGGGAAGATTACCTTTTGTCTGATTTAAACTTCTAAGTCATTTCATCTTTGAATTTAACATAAATAATTAGTAAAATTGTATATACTATATAATATCATATGCAACATGACAAGCTATTAAAATCAATGTGTTTCATGCATTACAACACCGTATTAGACAAATAACTTCAAATTTTGGATTAAACCTCTAAAGTATATAATCTCATATATAACACTTTTTTTCTATAGTAATCCATGCAATTACATATTAAAGTGTAACACAAATTAAAGATTAACAACATAAAGACGCAACAATTTTAACTAATTAATCAACATCACCTGGGAGGTAAACTACCACGAAATGGTTCTTTGACAAGAACTGCTTCACTTATTGCTGCCTCAAATCTGCAATCGGCTAGAAGAATCTCTAGCTTTCAATTATATGCTATAATTTGAATAACAATACAGTTACCTAAATTACTGTGCAAATCAATTGTAACTGCATCCTATACTTTTTCCAAAAATGTTATGTGTATTATATAAAACTTAATAGAGTACATGAAAAGTTTTCTAATGGATGAAAATTAAAAGAAATAACAAATTTAAAATTAATGGGATAAGTGCATATAATTATATAGTAAAAGATAAACTACACTAAGGGCTAGACAGATTCATGAACTTCACATTAATGTTTCACAATTTATTGATTTATTATTAAAAGGTAAATGTATTATTTGATTGATAGTATAAAAATATTCTGAAAAAGTAGTGTGTAGATAGGGGTACAAAATATCCCCTAAGAAGGTGACTTAAATGTACTATATATTCATGAAATAGTGGCAAAACGAACCAACAAAACATTTTGTAATAATTTAAATTTAATTATTCATATAATTTGGCCTTTTTATAGATCTTTTCTGATGCGCATTCCTTGAACTTTTTTATTCATATATTTATTATTCCTAGTTAATAATTAGTCTACATTTAATTACTCAATGCAACTCTTCCAATTCTTCTATTTATTTAGCAACGAAGAGGCTTATTGCGTAAATTCAAAAGGGTCATTTTGATTTGATTCAATGCATGTTAAAGTAGAATACCAAGACATTAAATTGGTATAAAAAATTGAAAAATAAGTTAAGGAAGTTGAAACGAAACCAAAATATTGAATAGAGGACAATTTTAGGAAGATGAAAAAGCTAGCAATTCCAAGACATTGAATATAGGCTGCTGTAATTGTGTGATAATTAAAATATTACTCCTATTTAATTAGAGTAGATATTTTATTTATTACATTAGTAATTGTGTAACAATTTAAATATTGCTACTAATTAGATTAGATATTTTTATTAATTAAATATTTTTATTTAGTAAAAGGGTAAAAGAGTAATTCAACTTTGAAAATTGAGCCTCCCACTTATAATAATAAATGATATGATTACAAAAAGCAGAGAGACTAATGGCAAGAAACAGGGAAATTAGTATAATTCCCCCATCCAAACATCCTTTCACCCCATGTTTTTTAACGCCAAAACCGAGTGATAAAACAGCATACAGCAGTACAATGATGATGTTAGGATCTTTGAGGCTCTTCAATAATATTTGCAATAGATTTACTGATGGCTTCTTAAATGTGTTAGTCCCAAAATGTTTGCGCCGAGAAGCAATATCCTTATCATCACCTAAGATACCCTTGTCAGCATCAGTTTTCAGGACAAACAACACGCTTTCCACACCATCAAACTGTTTAACATCTCTCACTCGAACGAGTTTTGCTAACATTTGCTTGTTGATACTCGAAAAACATTCTGGTTCGATATCAACTACTGTATAAGATTGAGAGCGCGAAAAGTTGCTCAAGAGCTCAGTCTTGTTTTTATTGAGGATGAGAAAGGTTAATACGTATGTGACATGGCACCATCACGTGATTAGTTAACTGATTATTGTTAAGGCTGTTAGTTAATAGTTTGTTAGAAAGATATTAGCTAGCTTAGTTAGTTACAAGTTAAAACGTGTATATAAGTGTGTAGATGATCAAATTTTCAGTATTGGTTTTAATCAGAGAAAATTTCCCAATTCTGTATTCTCCCAGAATTCTGCCTATGTTCATTCAAGCTTAATAGCAGTTTCAGATTTCCTCCATTAATGGAAGTCACTGCAATGTTTCTGAATTCTAACATGGTATCAGAGCTTTGAGGAGAGTTTCTGGACTTCTGAATTCAAGTCACAAACCACACTAGTTTTTTTTGTAACTAAGAAGTGGATCTACGATTCAGAGCACTCGGCGAACAACAATGGCAATTGATAATGAAGCCACCACAACTCCTACAGTGATTGATCATCCCCATCCTCTGTGCCTGCAGGCGTGTGATACTCCAGGTAACAATCTAATCTCATTTCTCCTAACAGGTCCAGAAAATTGTGCAATTTGGAGTAGATCGATGAGAATTGGACTGGTAGGAAAGAGCAAATTAGGTTTTGTAGATGGAAGACACACTAAGGATAAGTTCGATACATCATTGCATGAACTTTGGGAAAATGTAATGCAATAGTGCTGTCATGGATAATGAATGCTGTTAGCAAGAATTATTGAGTGGAATCATGTATGCCTCTAGCGCACACAAGTTTGGACTGATTTGAAGGAACGACTAGATAAGGTTGACGGATCTAGGGTGTTTCATCTACACACAGAAATTAATCATCTCACTCAAGGTACTTCCTCTATATCGAGTTACTTCTCGAAGATGAAGGTGCTTTGGGAAGAATTCGATGCCCTCATGCCATGTCCTGGTTGTGAATGTGCTGAATCAAAGAAATATGTTGAACATTTTGAGTATCAACGTTTGTTACAGTTCTTAATGGGGTTGAATGAGTCCTACAGCCAATGTCGAAGTCAGATCATGATGATGACTCCCACTCCTAGCTTGAACAAGGCATACTCGATGGTGATCTCTGAAGAGAGTCGAAGATCTCTAGGCAAATCAGTTCATATGGGGGAATCCATGGATGGGATAGCATTATTCAATAATCGAGTGACTGGCAATCATCGAAATCCAGGAAACAATTTTAGGGATGCAGACAACAACTTCAAACCAAGGAGGACTAATGATTTGTATTGTGAATTCTGCCATATGAGAGGGCACTCAGTGGACAAATGCTGGAAGCTACATGGTTATCCTCCTGATTCACAAGGGAAGAGAAGACCAGCAGGAACAAATGGAGGAGGAAACCGACCAGCAGGAACAAATGGAGGAGGAAACCGACCAGCAGGAACAAATGGAGGAGGAAACCGACCAGCAGGAACAAATGGAGGAGGAAACCGACCAGCAGGAACAAATGGAGGAGGAAACCGACCAGCAGGAACAAATGGAGGAGGAAACCGACCAGCAGGAACAAATGGAGGAGGAAACCGACCAGCAGGAACAAATGGAGGAGGAAACCGACCAGCAGGAACAAATGGAGGAGGAAACCGACCAGCAGGAACAAATGAAGGAGGAAACCATCCCACAAGGTACAGGCCAACTGCTAACATAGTTGCACAGGGGGATCCACAAATACAACATGCTCTCTATGCTCGTGAGAAGGAACACACCTGCTCGAACAACCAGCTGAATGACACTGATGCAAGTCGCAACAATGGTATCATGTTCACTCAAGATCAGTATGATCAATTACTGAAGCTGATCAACAAAGACTGTACTACATCTGAGAAACATGTAGCAGGTATACTTTATTCGTTTCTAGCAACACATGAAATTGCTTATGATAAATGGATAGTTGACTCAGGGGCCACTAATCACATGATACATGATAAACATATGCTTAATGAGACTACAATAGCAGACAACATACCTTCCAGTAAGGTTTATTTACCAGATGGTAATGCCCTTGAAATTGCATGTATTGGTTCATGCTCCTTGGGAGGTGGAGCAGAACTTACTGATGTCTTATGCATACCAAACTTCCAATACAACCTGCTATCAGTTTCAAAACTGACAAAGGATCTGAAGTGTTTTGTCACTTTTTATCCTAACCTATGCATTATGCAGGACCTTCACAGTGGGAAAGTGAAGGGGATTGGTAAGATGTGTGATGGCTTATACAGGATGCAATTGCAAGTGAAAGACTACCAGCAGGCAATGGCAGCAACTGCAACTGTAGACTCAAGACCAATTGGTACAAATACAGACTTAAAAACATGGCACAACAGATTGGGACATGCTCCTGACAAAGTCCTGATGAAAATTCCAAATATGAATTTTAGCACAAGTAGTAGCAACATCAAAGAATGCACCATTTGTCCACTAGCCAGGCAGAGAAGACTATCTTTTCCTGTTAAAACTACTAGATTTACTTCTCCTTTAGAAATGATACATGCTGATGTTTGGGGCCCTTATAGGGTTTGTAATCATGATGGTAGTAGGTTCTTTCTTACCCTAGTCGATGACTATACTAGGATGACATGGATTTTTTTGTTGAAACTCAAAAGTGATGTAATTGTTGTTTTGAAACAATTTATTCCTCTAATTCAGCATCAGTTTGGAGCAACTGTTAAAGTGTTTCGAAGTGACAATGGATCAGAATTTTTTAATTCTGATTGTGATGCATTGTTTAACTCTTGTGGTATCATTCATCAAAGCTCATGTGTTTACACTCCGCAACAGAATGGTTTGGTTGAGAGGAAACACAAACACAGTTTGGAAGTAGCTAGGGCAATCAGACTCCACGGTCATTTGCCTCTGAAATTTTGGGGTGAATGTGTTCAAAATGCTGTATATGTCATAAATAGACTCCCTTTATCTGTCTTGAATGGTAAATCAGCTTTTGAGTTGTTATATGGGAGACCACCATCTCTCCAACACATGAGAACTATTGGATGCTTGTGTTTTGCTACTGTTGTTCCTGGAGGTGACAAATTTGGTCCTAAAGCTATTGGGGCAGTTCTCATGGGCTACTCTGCTACTCAGAAAGGCTACAGACTTTACAGTCTGTTAACTAACCACTTCTTTGTTAGCAGGGATGTACATTTTCAAGAATCTATATTTCCTTTTCAGCTGCAAAAGTCTGGTCAACTTCACATATTTCCAAATGGTGTTATTAACACTGATACATCACCTACTGCTGTCGTTGTCCCAGCTTCTTTGCCTCTTGATAATGTTGCATCTGGTCTAATTTCCTCTCCTGAGGTGACTCTTCCTCCAACACCTCATGCTGGTCCCATTCATCCACATAATCTGGAAGCCAGAAGATCAACAAGGACTAAGACACAACCTTCTTGGATGCAGGATTATGTCTGTACATCCATTCCTTCCAGCGGTGTTTCAAATGCATGTCTTTATCCCATGTCTTCTCACTTGTCCCATACATGCTTGTCTGGTCCATATCAGTCTTTCTTGTCTAAGATGACTGCCTTGCGAGAACCATCTTGTTATGCTGAAGCTTCTTTGGATCCTGACTGGGTGTTGGCCATGGATCAAGAACTTCAGGCCTTGAAGGATAATGAGACCTGGTCCTTGGTTGATCTACCTCCTGGCAAGACTGCTATTGGCTGTAAATGGGTTTTTAAAATCAAGTACAAGGCTTGTGGTGCTGTTGAAAGATACAAGGCTAGGCTTGTGGCAAAAGGGTATAACCAGAAGGAAGGTTTAGACTATGTGGAGACTTTTTCACCTGTGGTCAAGATGGTTACTGTCAGGGTGGTACTTGCTCTTGCTGCTGCTTATAATTGGTCTCTACATCAGCTTGATGTCTACAATGCCTTCTTGCAAGGGGATCTTCAAGAAGAAGTAGAGAATAGTCAAAATGACTCTGAGTGAACCCTGAGTTAATCAATGCTTCAGTGAGCTTCAAGTTCCATTGTCTTGATGCTTGCTTTAGTCCATACAGGGATTTATGCAGTCTACAGACTTGTTTCTCCCCCTGACTGGAAAATCCCTGTGGAACATGCATATATACTTCTTCGTGAAGATCCCCTTGCAAGAAGGCATTGTAGACATCAAGCTGATGAAGAGACCAGTTATGAGCAGCAACAAGAGCAAGTACCACCCTGACAGTAACCATCTTGACCACAGGTGAAAAGGTCTCCACATAGTCTAAACCTTCCTTCTGGTTATACCCTTTTGCCACAAGCCGAGCCTTGTATCTTTCAACAACACCACAAGCCTTGTACTTGATTTTAAAAACCCATTTACAACCAATAGCAGTTTTAGATTTCCTCCATTAATGGAAGTCACTGCAATGTTTCTGAATTCTAACATGGTATCAAAGCAGTCTACTGAATTAACAGGTTTCTGTGATGCTGATTGGGCCACATGTCCTATCTCAAGAAGGTCTGTTACAGGCTATGTAATGAAGCTTGGGGAATCATTGATATCTTGGAAGGCAAAGAAACAAACGACTGTATCTAGGAGCTCAGCAGAAGCAGAGTACAGAAGCATGGCAGCAGGTGTATCAGAAATTCTATGGCTAATTGGTTTGTGTAAAGAGTTGAATGTAAATGTGCAACTCCCAGTTATATTACACAGTGACAGCAAATCAGCAATTCAAATTGTGAACCAGTTGGCTCCATTGAGCCTCCAAGTTGTGGGTTACGTTGCCTCTTGTCTTTGTAATTGTAGTTGGTTTTTGTCATCTTTCTCCACGAGACACTTAGAGCATGTTTAACATAGCTGCCCAAACTGCTTAGTTTTATAAGTATTTAAAAAAAATAGTGTTTTCAAAACCTTTTATTTTCTATAATAATTAATCCTTGTTGGTCAGCATTTTAATATTAATATTTTTGTATATTAATTTGCTTGAAATGTATGGAGTCAAAGTATGGCATTTGCTGTGAAATTGTCCGTTGGTGGATAATTCTTTTGTCTTAACCGTTGGACATTTATTTGGAGCATTACACCATTAGGAGTTAGTGCAATATGGCACTTCAGTTTTGCAACAGATGCAAAATTGCGTTGATGGCATTAGTGCCTACTTGATTGTCACTCATAATTCCTCTATTATACCTTGTAACCTATGTAACTCCTAAGGTCATTATCTTCACTATTTACTACCCATTATCTTCCTATTCATTGCTAGGAAGACTCTCTCAACTATAAATAGTGGTGGTCTTCATTTGGTTTGTTTTTCAGCAACAATCTTCCTGGCTGTAGACAGCAATGCCCTGGAAGTATAGAGAATTTTAAACGCCCAACGCCATCTCTTCCTGGCGGGGGACGTTAAAATAGGCGTTAATTGCACTTGCAAGATGTTGTCACACATGATTTTTGATAAAATAATAATAATATCCAAATAGGTAACTGACGATGTGTTTAATATAATTTCTAGTTTGATAATTTGAAATGTCTGTTAGATTCTGTTGTTGTATAAAAGAGGTGATGGCTACAAGTTTATAGACAAAAGTAAACCGTGTGTAACAGACAGGCTGTTAGGAGTGAGGAGATGATATTATTCTTGGAAGTTGCAGCAATAGTGAAAGTTATAAAAGATTGTTTGTCTTTTGTTCTGGTCTTTGTTTAATAAGCTTATATAAAGATTGGATTCCAGCTTGGCTTATATATAATATGAGTATGACTAATCAGAGAATGAAAAACGATTGACGTAATCATGTAATCAAGTATTGTACACACACAAAAAAGCAAAAGGAACCGAAGGATGCTCGTGCAATGGATGAGATTGTTCTCCCTTAATAAAAAAGACTTGAGTTTGAGAGCTTAGAAAAATTCTTGATAACAAATGATTTTGCTTTGAATAAAGCTCTACGTGACAAAATTTAAAAATAATTAGACTCCAATATTGAGTGAAAAGCAAAAGGAGCAAGCCAAGGCAAAAAAGTGAGTACAATGATTGTTGAGTTGGTTTGTATTTTTTGGGGATTTTAAATGACAGTACTTATATATGATAAATAAAGGATTTTGTGTGAATTATTTAGATTATTGCTGTTATATTATATTTATGTGAATTATATTTTGTGTGAATAATTTTATTTCAAGCTTGTCGTATAGGGTTTGCCTAGTACAGTTTATTATAGAGTGCTCACTCGAAGGACAAATGTTGTAGCGATTGCGAATTATTTTGAAATTTTCATAAATAAAATAAATAGTATGTGTATTAATAATCAACACTCTATATAAATGTTGCTAGAGGCTTTAGCCATTCGGAATGTAATGACATTAACTCAATTGTTGGTAAAAAGAAAATCTATTGCCACTAAATATCTTTTTGTTGTAATGACAACAAGTCAACAGCTTCAACGAAACATGGAATGAATTTAATATCAAAATAACCCACTTAGGGGTCGATTGTCAGAGTATACAAAAATAATGTAGAATGTGGTGTATTAGTATTTAGTCATGATTGCATTAGTAAAATGTTGGTATTAGTTATACTGACATTATTTCGTATACACTATTTGGTTTGACGTATTAAAAATAATGAGTTTTGCATAACTTCTATAAAAAACATTGTATAACTTACATAAATACCATAGTGTAAAATCGAAATTACCTTCTATCCCTATTATTTTTGTAATTACATAAATCCCATATTTCTTAGGAATTGCGGATACATAATTAAGGATCCGAATACATTATTGTTGATACATTATGTATCAATCTGTTGCACTTATTAAGGGGAGAAAAACTGAAAAATCAAATTAAGATCCCATAAATTACACTATTCCATTCCAAATTATTGTCAAGAATTCAAAATCCTATAGTGTAACAAACCAAAAAATTCAAAAATTAAATTTCTTCTTCTTGTTCATCGTTCTCTCTGTTTCATAAAAACTTTTGTCAAAATTGTGGATAAGCGAGGTGAGTTATGAAGGATACAAAAGTGATGGAATTGTTGTTGGACAAACGATTTCTTTCGTGAATCTTCAAGTTCATCGAATATCCTTTCGATTTTGATCCAAGATTGACGAAAATTTTGAGATTCAAAATTCTTCTCCAGTTCATAGAAGATCCTTTCCATTTTGATTCAAAATTGTTGAAAATTTTGAGTTTCAAAATTATTCTCATAATTCATTGAAGATTCTTTCAATTTTGATTCAAAATTATCAAAAATTTTGAGAAGATACATCATGAAGATCCTTTCAATTTAAATTGATAAATGTTGTATTTCTACTAGATACATTAAATAAAAAAGTGTTGTCCATAAGATTTTAGGTTTGAGATCAATACATTATTATTTGGTAATTGTTATGTATCAGATACATTTAATATAAATTTGAATTTACGTATCATAACAAAAAATTAGTGTATGATACATTATTATTTATGTATCTTATTTTGCTTGAGATCATGAAGATCCTTTCAATTTAAATTGATAAGTGTTGTATTTCTACTAGATACATTAAATAAGAAAGTGTTGCCTATAAGATTTTAAGTTTGAGCTCGATACATTATTGTTTGGTAATTGTTATGTATCAGATACATTTAATATAAATTTGAATTTACGTATCATAACAAAAAATTAGTGTATGATACATTATTATTTATGTATCTTATTTTGTTTGAGAAATACTATATTTTTAAATTTTTTAAAAAAATACATTATACATGTAATTGTTCCAAAATAGCTTCTTTTTTGTGTGTGATAAATAACACAAAGTTTACGTATCAAGTACATTTATATTGAACATGATAAACACTAATCGAAGATTCAACAACATTAGAGTTATATATCAATACTTTAAATATGAACATTATACATTGCATAAAACAAATGTTATTGTAGCAGTAATGTATAAGATCAATGATAACACTAACAAAGACTAATTTAAGATTCAAAATAAACGAGATACATTAAAAATTTGTATCTTTGATAGTGATGGCCGTGCAATGGCAAATCCAACTTTTTTCTTCTTCTTTTTTTGGACATTTTTCAATAGTAGAAACATTAAAAGAAAATAAATATTTTTCAAGAAAAATTTTCAACGACAATATGATTAACTAAAATTGCAAAGGTTCAATAAGATTTCAAAGAAGGCAGGGGGCGAAGGTAATTTTATTTTTATTTTTTAAGATGAAAAAATTAAAAAATAATAATAAAAGAAATCGAAAATAGAAGTGATGGAAAGAAATCTACCTCTTGAATAATTTGAAATCATTAATTGGAAATAGAAAAGATTTGAAATTCAAAATAGATTAATTGATAAACTTGAGAGACACCTTCTGAAAATCAAAATGAATTTAAAATTTGTAACTGCTAAAGAAGTGGAGAGAATTTAGGGATAAAATGGAGGAGTGAAATGGGGAGTGAGAAACGTGGGTGTAGGCTGAAAATAGGAGTGAAATATTTATGTATCCGGAAGATTTTATGAATTGGGGGAATTAAGGGATTTTTGAAATTTTTAAAAAAGGTAGGGATAAATTGATAGTAAGGTAAGTAAATGTGTTTATATAAGTAATTTTCCCAAAAATATTTGTTCACAAAACCACCCCTCACACTCTTTGGCTTTGGAAAATATATTAAGGGAGATTTGAGGGATCGTTACATCATTAACCAATCCTATGTAAAATATATTAATACATGGAAATCATGATATGATTAGTAAGTCTGATATACCCTTTAACTTTGTCAAAAAAGTTGATGTACCCTTTATTAAGAAAGTGACTTATATATACCCTTACAGTTATACAAATAACTCACATATATGATATACCCCTATCGTTACAGAAGGAGCTCACATATACCCTTCATCTAACGAAAGTGAAAAAATTAGTTCTAAATTTATTTTTCTTACTTTTAATTTTTTTTTAAATCCATATAGAGGTACATATGATCCTTCTAGCAAAGTTTGAAGTATGTTTTGATCTTTTTCATACATAAATTATTTTTGACTTCTTTGATTATATTGTTATTTGAGTTTCTTATTCTTTTTTTTCCTTTCATTTTTAGTGTAAGAAAAATTTAAAGCTAACTTTTTGCGGTTATATTGAAATTTAGTTTTTGTATTTGTAAAAAAAATAAAATTGGGGTATCTATAATAAAATTTACAATAAAATTAGTGAAACATAAATAAATTTGACCATCAAAATAATAAATTTAAATTAATCGTTGAAACAAAAAAGGCAAAAAAGTACTTGTGAGGAGGATCAAATATACCCCATATGGATTATATTAAAATTATTTTTTTCACTTCCATTAGAGGAAAATGGTATATGTATATTAAAATTTGAGTCACTTTCATAATGAGTGGTGTATCAACTCTAAATAGCAAAGTTAAAGAAAATATTCAGCCATTTTCTCTATTAGTAATACACACCTTAATACACAATAAAGTATATAACTAATACAAATATTAATTATACATATATAGACTAAAAAATATATACCAAACAATATACTAAAAATATGCAAAATTAACACAACAGCATTTTTCTAACCCTGCCAAAGTGCTAGATTCCAGCTTGGATAATAGTTGTAATACACTTATCAAAAAAAAAAAAAGATTGGATAATTATCATGCATGAAATGAAGAGGCAAGATGAAAACACTTGTCCAAAAGCAAAAGGAAAAAGGGATAAAAAGTGAGCATAGTACCATCGTTTCGCAAACTTTAAAGAAATTTCTAAGAAAAGGATATATGAATTTACTTACCCTCTCGTTACTAATTACTTATTCACTTTTTATTTTTTTAGTTATTTCTAATTACTTATTCATTTTGAAAAATCAATAAATGATTAAAGTATTTTTTTTACCTATTATACCCTCAGTTAGTTACTTTGAAAATATATAATTTCTTGAAAATCTTAAGTTTTTAATTCATCCACTTCATAATTAATAAGAGTAAAATTGTAAATTTACTATGTCAATCATTGTTTTCTTAATAGGTGTGTCAATTCAAAAGTAATTACGGACAGAGAGAGTATAAATAATAGAGGTAATATTACTATATTATCTTTTGACTTTATTAAATTTAATGCTTTGAAAAATGTGTTAGATGATAAATAATATTTAATAGGAAGGATAAAATAGACACAAAGGGTAAATTATCTCTTGATTTTTTAAATTGGACAAGTATTATTGAACAATTACTTTTAGTTTAATAGACAACTATTATTGAACATAGGAGATATATCAAAAGAGAGGTATAATAATCTTAAAATTTAAGAATAAATAAGTAAAGATAGAAAATAACATAAATAAAGAACTAATGGATACCAATAACTATATTAAACCTAAAACGTATCTCTAATTAAGAATCCAAACAAGCA